ATTTCTGCTTGTCTCCTAAGTACCATAAGAGTGCTGATGTTCAGTGAGGTAATATTCTGGGTGGTAATACAGGATGAAAAATAACTTTCTTCTCCAACCTGTACTAGAAAAGATGAGCTACGGTTTATTAGTAGATTGGGGCCCATAACAAAGACATAGGGGTGAGTGGTGTAAGCCAGGCTATTGTCAGTAAGATTATCAGTGAAAGTCATACCATTGTGGCTGGAGGAGTTCTGGCAGTCCCCGTGTCATGCCATGATAGGGTTTAATCCGATGAGCTGGAATCCACAGCGGCCCTGTGGGGGTGAAACACACCCATCTCCTCTCCCCCATGTTAATAATTCACTGGGTCCTTGAGTCCTATATCCCCCCTTTTTTGTTTTACTAGTATGCTCTTTAATGTCAGATGGGTGTGCTCGACAACGGCCTGCCCCTGTGGATTGTAAGGGATTCGCGTGGAATGCTGGATGGACCACGTCCTATAAAAGGCAGCAAAGGCATGGCTGCTATAAGCAGGCCCATTGTCAGTTCTTATCTTGGTTACCATGGCTATAACTGGAAACAGTTCTTATTGAATCTATGTAAAGAAATGTATTGCTACTTATTAAGAATTCTGGAGGGACAAGTAGAAAGAGAAATATATAATTTGCTTTATAAATTGCTTTAAAAATGCTTCCTTATATCTGAAAAACAAAAATTTTAAGAATTAGTAATACTTTTAACAAAAGTTATAAAAGCTATATAATTATTTTCTATGCATTTAGCCCCATAATAACATGTTTGTTTCTCCTGATTTTTCCTGTTAGGACTTCTAGAAATCCAGATACTTTATGGAGTAATGGAATGTCATGGAATCTTGTCCTTTCTGTAAAACACAATATTCCACAATAACAATTAGAGCTATAAATGAAAGCATAACATAGTTACTATTATTTGACAAAACTTCCCATGTACTTTGGGCAGGAAACTTTCCTTTGTGAGAGAGAAAACAAACATTTGAGGCATTCCAGAGCCTATTGGAATGACCTACAGCTAATTCTAGGTCAAGGAAAAGTTTCTTAAAATTTAAACCCTGGAAGGATTGTCAAATACATTAGACTAAAAGATTGTACATTATTATTATTACTAGAGGCCTGGTGCACAAATTCATACACGGGTGGGGTCCCTCCCAGCTGATCAGGGCCAGCGGGGGTGGGGAGGGGAAGACTACAGGAGGTTGGCTGTGGGAGCGCACTGACCACCAGGGGGAAGCTCCTGCATTGAGCATCTGCCCCTTGGTGGTCAGGGTGTGTCATAGCTACTGGCTGGTCTTCCAGTCAT